CATATATATATACATATATATATATATATATATATACATATACATACATATATATATATAATTATATATATTGTGTGTGTTTATGTATATATTTTTTTCATCTGTTTCTTTTTCTTTCTTTTCTTTCTTATTTTAATGGAAATCCAGTTTTCTGAATATGCTAAATGTTAAAATGGATACTTTTGCATTGTACATTGGCATTACATTGTATGCATATGTGAGTCAGTCATTCTCTCTTTAAGCACTTCTCTCTCTCTCTCTCTCTCTCTCTCTCTCTCTCTCTCTCTCTCTCTCACCACTTCTGTATTATGAGGGTTTAATGTTTGACTGCACAACATTATTGTTTGTTTGGAAGTCGGCAAAATAAGAAAAAAATATGAGATTTGTTTCATTTATATAACTTAAAATATACGAGCATTACAGGAATGGTTTCACCAGTCGGGTCTCTCGTGTGATGTAGAACTATGCATTTGAACAATAAATATACATATACATTATTTCTTTTTACAAAATTTATGGTCCGAGAGTCTCTTCCTAAAAAAAATGCATTGGATTTGTATAAACAAACCTGTAGTCTACTTCTTGGACAGAATCTGCATAAAGTTCCATGGAACTATGTACTATACACAAGGTGAAACAGTGATGAGCTAAAGCTGTAGGTGTCCCATGTGCGCGTAAAGCTCAGTTATTTTCACCGCCTTTCCCCCCACACACTCATTGTTCTCTCGGTTCCTTGCTTGCTTCGTTTATTTAATTTCGCAAACCGCATTTGTTCGTGAAATGAAAAAGAAGGAAGCAAGAAGTCTTGCCATTGATGTCTATTCGCCGCCGCCAGACTTGGTTCCGAAGAGCAGGACCTGGATTTCGTCGTAGAGCACCAGCACAAGGGCGCCACCTGGAGGGGGAAAGTAGTGGTCATTTTCTGCTTTTGACACGCGAGCCTCAAAAGGGTTGTCCAATTAGGCTTCTCTATCCTACCTCTTCCACCTTAATCCTTGCTTTCTGATCAAAGCATCCCCCTCCCCCTAAAAGGATACATGAGGAGGTCCACTTACCAGTACCACGAAGGACGTTGGAGAACGCGCCCTTGAAGAAGGCGCCGGTACCCTCGTTCTTAGCGACCTTCCTCCAGCAATCAATGGTGTTCTTGTAGATGATATCAGCGCCCTTGCGACCGGACTGCATCATCATGCGCCTACGCACAGTGTCGAAGGGATAGGAGATGATGCCGGAGATGGTGGTCACGGTCTGCGCAATAGCCCAGGAGACGATGATGCCAGCGCTCTTAGGGTCAGGCAGCATGCCCTTTGCGGTATCGTAGAGGCCGAAGAAGGCGGCGCGGTAGATGATGATGCCCTGCACAGACACGCCGAAGCCGCGGTACAACCCACCGAGGCCATCAGCCTTGAAGATCTTGACGAGGCAGTCTCCTAAGCCATTGAATTCACGCTGGCCGGCGCCCTTGCCGATATCGGCAGCAAGCCTGGGGAGGAAATGACGGCTCGTGAGACACTGCTGAACACGGGACCCGAGGGCATTCGACTTTTCCTCTTCCATATACCAGGCAAATATTAAGAAAAACGACATACGACTAAAGCAGGGGATAATATGTTGAAATTATTGTTATATTTACATTGTATTTGCTTAAATCGAGGTTTAAATGACATGCCTCACCTGGTTCGAGCGAAATCAAGGGGGTAGACGAAGCAAAGGGAAGTTGCACCAGCGGCACCACCGGAGGCCAAGTTACCAAGGAAGAACCTCCAGAACTGTGTCTTCTTGTCTACGCCACCAAGGAAAATCTGTAAAAACAGTAAAGAAAAATGGATATAGAATACATTTTTTATTTATTACAAAAAAAAACAGCCTCTAGTCTCTCATTACGTTTAGCGAAGGAAGAGATCTTGCCAATTATAAACATTTAACCTGCACCCTCAAAAAACATAGAACAGCCTCGTAACCACAACTGTCTCATAAGCATCCCATTTGAATAAATTGGCTATAAACGTTAGAATAGAAGCCCGGTGAAAATGATTACGATCTTTCAGTGAATCATGTGTTGCATTATTTGTGACGCATTTCAAGTACCGCCTGACTAGATTATAGCACCAGATATTCGAAATAACTCGATATGTAATTAAAACGAAACTACAACAGGGAGGAAACAAAAAAATAATCTTCAACCCACAAATTTTAATAACAACGGATTACTCGAACGCATCAATTACCAATCATCCTTTTTTAAGTAACAATATCGAAATCACAAAGAAGCAGACAGTGCCAACCCCACGGAAGCTGGACCAGTGCCAAAACTTCACGAGGGTGGAAGAACCTGCGTAACACCCTTGGCACGGGCGGCCCTATGACCATTCACAGCCGGCAGCGGACCTTCTGTACAAGTCCCCCGCGTCGGCAGCCGGTTTTCAGAAGCTATTTTCAGGATGTTCGAACGGCGCGGTATTCGACTGGGTTTTTCTTAGGCCTGTTTCCCAAGCTGGTATTCAAAGGCTGCATCAAGGGTTTTGAGAAACTTTTAGTACTTTAGATTATATAATGTTTATCTGTTCTCTGGTTACGAATGTATGGAAACGTATAAGAGGAGATTCACAAGTTGAAAATCAACGTAAAGTAACTTGTAACATCATGTTGGGTAATGTCATTTCTGGACAACCTAATACAGATTCTGTGCTTACTTCGAGAGAAAGAGAAAATTCGTCGAATGGAGATTCAGTGCATAATAAATGAGTATATATCGATCTTTTTTGTACTAAGTTCTTTTTTCTACCTCTTCTCGTGATTCTCTTCCCCCTTCTCTCCCTCTTCTTCCCCC